TTTTTATCACCATAGCAAGCTTAAATACTGTCAGCATGACTTATCCTTGGTTAGGTTGACCTTGATCACTTAGCTCAATTAGAGGTCATGATATTTCTCTGATATATAATTATTATTTTTTATTTTTCAGCTTTGTAGTATGCTATATGATTCTGTGATGTTTTTTAAATTTTTATTTTATAGAAAAAAATGTAAGACAGAATTTCATAACAAATTAATAGAAGAATAACAATAGTTAATATATTGCATACTGCCATCTTCAAACTAGTTACTCAGAATATAAGATATAGACATAAAAAACTTTCCAATCAACATTAGCATAAGTTCCTTTTCAACAAAATAAGGAACATTAATAGTTGCATTATATTTTCTCCTTTTTCCTTCCTTTCTTTTCCCCCTATTCCAGTTTCTTTTTCCTTTCAAACAATTTCTTTAATTCCCAGTACCAAAAAAAACTTCCTATTTCACAATATCTATTGTACATTTTAGATCTTATTTACTCTTTAATTTCTCACACCAAGAAGACAATATGATGTTTACACACGTGAGTCTAATTTATTTAACTTGTAAGTATGGTCTCACATTGCATTCATTTACCTGCAAAAATCTCGTTTATCCTTTTTACAGCTGAGCAGTACCATATTATATAAAATACTACATATTCATTCATTATTCTTTCTCTCTCTTTTTATCTGTAGAAGTCACTGTCCTCAGCCCATATTCAAGGAGTGTGGGGAGTTTTATTCTATGTGATAAAGGGTAGTTTACCAATGTAAATTATTTAGTCTAATGTGTATTTTAAAATTTGCAAAGCTGAGAGCATTGCACAAGTAAAAATGTTGTGAATAGAAAAGTGGAAAGTGATAAAATCTATCCGAGGAAATCAAGGACTAAGAAAATGAAAGTAAAATTGTGACTAAGGTAAGAGGTAGGGTCGCATTTCTCTGCATGAGAAAAGCCTCATGTCACAGAGACTTATTACATTCACTATTTTCGTGCTAACCCAGTTCCTCTGGAAAAGTAAAGCATTTGAACAATTGGAAACTGTAATGAATCTATAATCCTGTTATTTTAATCCTGGGATCATCTCAGGAACATAACACACTTCCTTCACTGCCATTTCCTGTGCTAGATCTTAGTTTCCAAAATGCATGGCATCCTTTCCAGGATTCCAGGCCTAATTTAGTGTATTTCTTGGAAATGGATACTAGGGGGTCATATGATGGAAGTGATGTTATCTCTATTTAGAGGAGAAAAGTGAGATACAGTATAAATGATTTGCTAAAGGTATTCGTAATTAATTACCTCTGTCGTCACTATTCAACGAAAAGTGCTCTCTCAAACCTCTTCAAAGATCTTCTTGGCAATGCAATGGTCTCCTTCCTTATTCACCTTCATCTTTCTTCTGCATTTGTTGTTAAATTCCCCCTAGTGTTACATACCTATTTCTCTGTAGCAGAGTATCCAAAAGCACAGTGGCCTGAAAAGCAATCATTTATTATTGTTTCACATCTGTGGAGCAGATGGAGTTTATCAAGGCTGGCTCAGCTAGATGGCTGCACTTTTTATGGGATCTGCTAGTTGGCTGGGTGTCACTGTCAAAGCAAGTCCCATAGACAAGGGACTGTGTCTTCAGTGAGGCCTCAGCTAATGTGTGGGTGCAGGGGTTAAGGAAGTATTGGGACTAGCAGTGCAGTAATGAAATGTATCATACTCTTGCTTCCTGAAATGTTCTCTCTTTTTTAAAAACACAGTATTCTCTTGAGCACCTCATTTTTTATTTTTTCTTTAATTCTACTTCCTATCACTAATAATTGCATGTAATCTTCACCTAAGTTTCAATCGTTCAGTCTTGATTGTCTTCACAAGTGTAATCTTCCTGAAAAGCTTCTCCAGCCTCAGACTCTTTGGTCCCTAAATAGTCAGTTCCTATTTCCTATGGGGGATTTTCATTTGAAATTGCTTACATTCATAATGTTTGGTCACATGTTCCATTTAAATCAATGTTTGTTCCTAATCAATGATGTATCTCTGGAGAAGACTTGGGCTTTTTGATGAATGATGTAAATCTAAATGTAAAAACAAATCTCCAGTAAAAACTTGCCATATGATATCTCTAAAAATTAAAAAACAATATATCTAAAAGAAAACAATAGTTATAAGGAGAATTGTTAAGAGCCATTTCATCAAGAAATTTATTATAATTTTAAATTTAAAGATTAGGTAGAGTATCATGATAACTATATTTATATATTTAAAAGTCTATAATGTGGGAAGATCTGAGGTTTTTTTCCTTTTAGCAGAACTTAGTCCATTGGACTTTGAGGGAAGAAACTTTAGTTTGATATAAGGGGAAAATTAGTAAGAGGAGAAACAAAATGATTTGTGTACCTCTTCTTTTAAAATTTAATTAAGTTTTATTTTACTTTAAAGAAAAACAGAAAAATCAAGAAGCAAACAAAATAAAAACAACAACAAAGTAAAATGACAACAACAATAATAAAAAAAACCAATAGCTATATAAATTTTCAAAACAAGATGATAGAAATTTAACAATGGTTGTTATTCTGCTCATTGTTATCTTCAAAATAGTTGCTCAAATACAGGTATAAAACAAAACAGTAAAATGGAGCAAAACGCTGGACTTTAAAAACAAGATGAAAGGAAATTCCACATAGCTGTCACAATGCACACTGTCATCCTCCAAACAGATCCCCAGATCACCAGCTCCTGCAAAGTCAATTAAATAATACAAGCTTCAAGCTGTTCTTTCCACTTCAGTAGCTGTCATCTCACCCTGAGTCCTCTGAATCAGCCAGTTGTTTACTTGGGGGGCAAGGAGATGCTCTTCTGGTTTCCTAGCCCATGCACTGGCAGGCTCATGGAAAGGTGTGGTTTGTCTTCTTGCCGAGTCTCTTCCTGATCCCCATGATGGAGCCTGGCTCATGGTAAGGTGTGGTTGTATACCTCTTTTCAAAATTAAATGTCACTTTACTCTCCCAGAAGATCTTAATCCCTATTTTCCCAGCTCTCCATCAGAATCCTACCCACCCCTCACACCTAATACCAAGTCTTCTTCCCTCATTGCTCAAATTTTATCTGCCTTTCTCAATTCATGCTATGAATCATCACCCCTCCCCAACTAGATTAAAGCTATTTAAAATATAAGTAGGACATACTAAGTTATAACTTCAGGCATGCCACCAAATATGATCTTATTACAAAAATGTAGTAATTCCTATCAGATTATTGTTCAATTGTCATTTTCTGACTTGGTTACCATTCAAAACCGGACTGGACTTCTCAAGAATTGCATCATTTGACATTGAATTCTGAAGAGTAGGCTCCTGATTTAATGAAAATCACTTGACATCCAAGCTTATATTTCCTACTCACCAATGAGGGAAATTGAAATTAGAAATTTTAAAAGATCCTTGATTTGTAGCAGAGATAACTTATTAGGTGAAACAGCTGAGTCAATATGCTCTCATTTCTTCTCTTAATAATTTTTCAATGATCTGTAAGAAAACCAAATTTGATATCATTTTGACCAGTTGGCAACCCAGGTAGAAGCATTTAAAAGAAAATTTAAAGCAAAACAGAAAGAAATGTAAAATAATACAGAATTTCAAAAAAATAACAGTAACAAATTAACACTAGGGCTGGGTTTAAGCCCACGTCTGACAAGCGCAAGGTCATGAGTTCCATCCCTGGTACAACAGCAACAACAACAAAATACTAGTTAATATGTTTCATAGTGTTATCTTAGAAGTAGTTGGTAGTTGTTCAAGTTACAAAATCTAAGCATATAAAGTGAACACACAAACAATGACAGCACAAACTATTCTTTTTGATGAACTAACAGTATGGTTATAAGATCCAAAATGTACAATAGATATTGTAATAATGAAAGGGAGGAAAGTGCTCAAAAGGAAAGAACTACTTGTAGGCAAACACGTATAACTGTATGTATGTTTAAGTGTGCAAGACAGTTTTTAAATCTATAAGCCAAATTAAATTATGAACAAATGACCCAAAAATGCAAAAGAAAAAAGGAAAGAGAAAAAATTTGTTGAATGCAAATAAAAAACAGCTGGTCACAGATAGGACAAATGGACAAATAAACAAATACACAGCTTAACAGACTGGACAAACAGATAAAATATTACAGAATCATAGTGCACTCAAATGTTTGGAAATTATTCAAACCAAAAATCAACTGGTGAGTGAGAACATGTGGTGTAGAAGAATATAAAAGACACTGGAGATCTGTCAGCCTAGTTGATATTCAAGTCTGCCTGTTGTCATAGTTACTGATGTGCTCAAAGTGATTTCCCTCCTGAATCACACTCTTACAGACCTACAGTGAAAATAAGCTATTCTTCCTGCTTATTTATTTATTTACTTTTTGCTAACCATGAATCAAGCTAAAAATAGCATCAGTTGCATGGATGTTTTTACACTCATAGCAAGATTTCAAACATAGAAAACGCACAAAAGATGTTTAATCAAAATAAGTGTCTCTGATTAATGTCTCACCTCATTTGTTCAGCACTGATTCATTGAGCACCTAGGTACCAGAGACACTATGAGGATATATATGACCCAGTTCCTGCCCACAAGGATGTCACAGCTGTGAGGGAGAGCCACGAGTATGGCTCTTCAGCAAATTTCAGCAAAATGCGATCAATGCTATCATGGAATCATAGTACAGAGAACCATGGGAGTGAAAAGAGAAGCACTTCACTAAATTTGGGGTGCTGGTGAGGTCAGATGAAAAGGAAGCATCCACTCTGGGAGTCTCAAAATATTATTAATGGGAAGCTTTGTAATGTATTTTCAGTCATTCTGGGTGTGGAAACCCAATGTGAATGCAGGCTGGACTCCTCGAAGAATGGTGTGGAGACTTGCTTTGCTGCACACAGCGTGGCATCTACCTATGATGTATCACCTATAACAGGCTTATATTCACATGACTCCTCTTTCTGCTTTGGCCATAGGAACTCCTTCACAGACATCCTCCGTGCCATCCTACTGTCCTTGGAAGTCCTTATTGAAGATCCAGAGCTTCAGATAAATGGCTTCATTTTAATTATAGACTGGAGTAATTTTTCCTTCAAACAAGCTTCCAAACTGACGCCTTCAATCCTTAAACTGGCCATTGAAGGGTTGCAGGTATGTTCAAAGAATGTGTAACACAAGACTGTGTGACAATGTACTTTCTTCTGTTACAACCAAAGTAGTATACATAAAATTAATCTGTGAGTGCTTCATATTTTTACCTTGACTTGGTTTAGATGTTTATGTTGTTGTTTAATTAGCCTTCATTTTCATTAATAACTCTAAATTGCTGTTACCACAGGCGCAAATTACCTATAGTAGCAGTAATGAATAAAGGTTGGAGATGTTTGGCTTAATCCATCTGAGAGTTCACAACAATTAAAACTAGGAAACATCTGCTTTATGAACATGTTTTTCACAGAGGTAGCATGGGGATTTTCCAGGGTTTCCAGAAGCATGTTTGGGCCCCAGAAATGTACCCAGTGGATTGTCATTTCCCAGAGCATCAAATGCTGCAGTATTTGTGCTGAAGTTATTACTTTGGAACATACGAAAGGAAGCAAATAAAACTCTGTTCCTGTTTGTATGACTGGCTGTCACTTTGGAGAAGTGATTTTTGTATTGTGTGGATATATCAGGGTAGCCTGTTTCTTGGGACTCTTGTACTTTTAAAGAATCAGCGATTCTATGAGAGATAATGCTCCTTAGAGTCTGGATGACACATTGTCATAGTACAGAATTATGGACATAGTTTGAAGAGATTCAGAATCAGCATGAATAAAAACTCATATTCCTTCTTCAGTTGGAAGATTAATTCAATGCAGTGACCCCACCCCAATAAAAATAGTTATGTACAGTTACGTAAATAGCAAAATATAGATGCTAGATAACTCTGTCATACCTCATATCTCTTCAGAGTGCATGGGTTCAATTGTCCATTACATTCTTATAATTTAAGTAATTTGTAATCTGTTTCTTAAATTATAGTCTGTTTATAGTTGGTCTCCAGCAAATATCTAGCACTCAGAAGGCCTCAGATAAATGAATGTCTATCAACTGGATTTTATTTTAATGAGATTCTTTCCCATTTCCCACAGGAGAAATAGAACTGACATTTCAGAAGAAGAGTAGGGATGCAAATTGTCCTGGATGGTCATATCTTACAGTACACTGAAGGCACACTTTTAGATCTGGCTTAAAATCCTGATGGTAGACTTGTATATTCTTGACAATCAGTCACTTTCTTTCAGGTGTAAGGCCTTTCTCGTCTCTTATCAGCCTCTGAATATTTATCTCTCTCCCTACAGCTTGGATCAAGGGAGTTTCAAAGAATACTTCAAGGCATATTTCATGCCCCATAGTTATGCTGACCATATTCTGGAAACTTCTGCACAAGCTTCATGTGATCTCATCATATTTTTGTGACTCAACTTGTATGCCTTTATAGGATTGTTGTATGACTCACAAAGAAAAAAATGTCTTTTATATAACCCTATGTTTTAATACTTCTTTCTGAAAACGTGTGAGTTACATATGGCCCTAGCTAACCTCACTGGAGTGATATATGAATATTGAGTTAATACACATATATATGTTTTTAAAAGTAAAGCTATACAGAAATGTAAGGTATTCTTATGAGAAATATCAAATGACCTTTGGTGGGAAGAAGGTGGGTCTTATATGAACCTTCACGTGTCATGTTCCAGGGTCTGAGATGAATTCCACAATGTGCTGTAGCTCCAGTTAAGGAGAAGGAGAGATATATGAGGCCAAAATATGTATCCTTTATCCTCCGGAGCAATGGCCTGGGCCTCCTAATTATATACTCATTTTTAAAGGCATTATAAGCTCTCTCTACTGCAGGAAAGCATTAGGACAATCTGCAGTCAGGCTGTCTGGGTTAGAATGCAACTCTTTCTGCCATCTTTGTCTGTCCAGACTCTGGAGTTCTTAGAAAGGTAGAGCTCTTCTTGTTAGGGTGAGGAAGCTCATGACCCCAGAGAAACTGGGCTGTGGTATAGCTCCTCCCCTAGATACAGATGCCCCATTTTGATCTTTTAGCATGTTTTGGCCAAGCTGAAGACATTTTGCGGGTTACTGAGACAGTTCTGATCTTGTCCCACAGTAAGTGGTCAGCTCTGGCCTGTGACTGGTTACTGATTACAGGCTATCCTCTCTCTGCCAGTGGGGACTCCATGAACTCCATGGTCCACTCTCATCTACTCTGCCAGGGACCTTTCTTCACCATAGTGCTCATGTCCACCTTCAGATAGCCATGGGCTCATGTCCATCTCCAGATATCTATAAACCACTGCAATGTGTTGAGAAAAATAAAACATAATCAGAACCAAGCAGAATTAATCCCTCTGTAGTCATCAGGGTTGTCCAGAGGGAATCCCATGCAGTTTTCTATTGTAAGGTTAATGAGCAAAGAGAAATTCTACAAAAGCATTGAGTGATTTTAATAGAAAGGGGACACTTGCTTAGAGCCAGAAACAGTGAGAGAAGGAAAGCCATGCTCCTTCTTCCCTTCATGCACTTTCTATAGTTCTAAGCAGGTGGTAGAAGAGATAGAATTTCTTTCCCAGGGCAGAGAACTTGCTCTCTCTGCTGTCCTGCTTTTTGTAGGGTCATTTTGAGAAGGTGGCCTGTCAAAAGGGATAATTAGAGCACAGTTGTACTCAATTGTCTGGTTTGGGATTTCCGCTGTTTGTAGGATTCATCTAGCATAACATACTGCTAAACCCCTGAAGGTTTGAGGGCTTTGGGGTATGATGGCTGCCCCTTACATAGTTAATGCAATATCTCCCAGGGGAAAAAAAGTTGGGGCCATCTCAGATAGCTCATTGTCCGGGCAGTGAGAAGTTAAGGTCATTTTTGTCAGTCTTGCACTTGCACCACATCTTGGTTAGAGTTCTGAGTTGATTCTTGTTCTCCATAATTTCAGCTGTTCAGGGACTTTTGATTACTAGTTGTTGCAGGTTGAGCTCTCAGGAAGAAGACTGCACCATGGGGATTCCTTAAGCAGTGCTCTTGGGATCAACACCTGTGGAAGGGAAGCTGCTGACAAGTTTGGCAGCAGGAGAGTCACACTGCGACCCAGTCATTCTGACTGAAGGCCTCCGATGTTCTGAAGCTGGGCTGACCCTCAGAGTGATTCTCAATTGGAGTCAGGGATGTACGGCACTGGTGGCAAAATACTGCATGCGCTCTGCAGCCAGCTGTTCATTATCACTGAAACAGCAGAGGGAGCTCTTTTCTGAGGGCAAGCACCCCCATCTCCTGGTGGCTGGGGCCATGGATCAGAGCATTTACTGGAATAAGCGAAAGATACCAGAAATACCCTATAACGTGGGTCTGGACGTGTAACTGTTCTTTTGTGGTTTACACATAGTCATGATTAACCCCTAAATGGAAGTGTCACAAAGTGATGGGAACTGGGCTCGCAACTCAGTGACAGTCTTCTATTTAGATTGATTAGTTGTATTTCTGTACTGCAAACTGTAATAACCCTGCCTCTGACAATCACAAAAAATGTAGTGTATGTATAGAACTTTGGCTATGCACTTAAGAAGCTGAATTAGTTACTGTAATCACAAAGAAAACTCATTAAACGATCACTTTAGTTTTTTTCAAAGTTACCTTGTATCAGCCAGTCATGAAATATTCACAGAAGATCTACTGCATATCTCTCTTTTTACAGCAATGTTTTGAGGAAATGTTATTGTTTAGAATATTAAGCTGAGCTGGCATGGTGACTTATGCCTGTAATACCAGCACTTATGAGGCTGAGGCAAGAAGATTGTGGTGAGTTTAAGGCCAGCTACGTAAGTGAATTCAAGGCCAGCCTGGACAACATGGTAAGATCCTTTCCGAAACAAAACAAAACCCCAGAATATTAAGCTAACCCAGGTACTTATTTTATGAATATTGGTTCAGAGACTTCTGTTAAAATATTCAATTTAAGAAATCATTTCCTCTTGCCCTGCTTTTGAACTATAAATGTGGTCATTATGTCAAAAAAAAAGCTTTTATATCTGTTTGTTACAACTGTTTCAATTTTAGTCAAATATAAAGTAATATTTATGCCACCATCTTAATAGAGCCCTGCATTATTCTCAGTTCTGTTGCAAAATCCTGGCAGAATGAGCAACACACTGAAGTTCTGCTCTTGAGCTTTGCAATGTTTCCAAAGTTAATTTTTGAAATTATTTCTTTTAAGTCATTGCAGCCCAGTTTTTGTTGACACCGTGTTTATCAATGTTCAGCCAACCTAGACAGCTAGAAAGCTTACTGTGTGCTAGTGTTTTATTAGAAAGAATTACAGCCATGCACCCTGGAAACTATTTACAAAATATTTGACTTCTTAAAGGACCCAAATATTTGTTAGTGTTTAGAGAAGCTTGCTTGTCACTCAGCACAGGACATCTAGGAAATACTCCCCCCACCATTTGCATGCTCATGCCATTACCTGGCCAATCCGAACAATTTACCACTTCATCAACTTTTGTTTACGGTTTATTGTGTGACTTTTTCCTGTTAAAGATGTTTTCCTAAGATTTTTATATCAGATTTGATTCAAATTCTCCCAAAAGTTTTGAACTACTCTAATGGAAAAAGAGGTCTATTTCTTGTCCAATGCTGTTTTCCTTCACCTCGATGATAATTCATCAGTTATTAACTCAGGTGGAAGAGGATTGGAGCAATGCTCAGAGACCTGGCCCATTGCCAGACCATCGCTTTAGCATCTCTGTTGGGTAAATCCTCTTAAACCTTGTACCATTATAATTGGTCTCCTTTTTCATTCATTGTTTTTACATCTGCCTTTCCAAAATACACGTTTATTGGCCCTGGGGATTCCAAAGTGTCATATTCAACTCAATGAAAAAATAGTTAAACATCTGTGATGTCAGTGGGCAATAAGAGAGTTCCTGGGTATAAAGAAATGGGATCATACTGTGATTAGAAACTTGGAAAGGCAAGTTGGGCAAATGCATTTTAATCAAAAGTAGATTCACTTTTCTCTATAGTCCATATCACAGACAAGTAGACACTGATTCATAGTATATTTATGACAGAAAACATGAGTCAGAAGTCTTCTAACAAAATTGCAG